ATTCGATGACCTTCATATGGTTAAGTTGTGCTTATGGACTCAATGCTTGATGGGATATTTTGCTGTACAGTACAGTACTGAGTTGGCCTCGTGCTTCGGATTGTGGCCTGTCATACACTTTCGAAAAGCGAAGATTCTACAGAAAATGTATGTCAGCATTGGAGTTCTTGATATTGCTGTTTATGTTGGGCATTGTTTTCCATGCTTTTTGTCTGTTCTTGTGCTGAAATTTTATGACTACCGGAATTTTTTCAAGAATTTATTCAGAAAACTCATGAATGCAGTGGATACTACAACTGAAGATTTATTTTTTATTGTGTGATTTTGTTATTTTCAGTTTGGAGCAATATCCGAGTTTCCTCTTTACTTTGGGTGTCGGTGGATTGTGTTACCCAAGGTTTGTATCCGCTGCAGGAGCTGGTTGGATTTTTGGACGAATCCTGTATGCGAAGGGTTACCATTCGGGAGGTTAGTGATATACCGTATTTCGTTTCTCCTGCGAGATTTTTTCTTACCAGGATGATGAGGTACCAAATCTACACGAATGTATGACACATTTTTTCCTATTACAATACTGTATTACGAATAACCACGTTTTATTTCGGGATTTGTTGAATTTGTAGATGCAAGTCTAAGATGTGGTCCAGAAATGTGAACTAATTAAAATGAGGAATATTCATTCGACTTTTTAAAAATCTCTGCATCAATGAGGTCCGGTTTTAAGCATGATATTAACTAAATTTTGTTTATCATCGGTGCTGAACAATTGAGATGTATTTTAGAATGAATATTGTAAATATATGATATTATTCTCGAGACGCGTGGAAAGAAAAATTTTTCCAATGGTTGTATCGTTAATTTTGATGCAAGCTTTGTCGCTATAAAAATAAAATTGCGGTCATTCTTGAAAGATTTTTTGAATGTAGTACAGGTATTGACTCTTGTGTCTGTAGAAAATTCCTTTCGGGTACTCATTGAATTCCTTCGTGAGAAAGTTTCTTTTTGTTTTGTTTCACAGAGCCGAAGAATAGGATCCCTGGTTTCGTCGTGTCCATTGTAAGTTCCACGCTGATCCTGGGCGCGGCTGTGGCAACCGGACATTGCATGTTGAGGCTGTACAAGTAATCCACGGATGCATTTTAATAGGATATTCGTTATGGTTGAATTCGTCGGTCTTGACCACCGGTGTAGGCAAAAACTTCTTCTTCCTTGATTTCAAGGGCGCTTCAATCTGTGAATTCGGTGGCAATTGAACTTATTGTGAATTATTATTGCTTAAATGTGGGCATTTGGCTGTTTGTGGGGCCTTTTGGGCAGTTGTCCCCTAGTTGTGAACGAACGAACAATGGGAATATTTGTTGAAGGAGTTTCCGTCGATTTCAAGTTCTCAAATTGGGATCTTTCCTCGTTGGACCTGTCGTTTATTGATTTGTCTGTCTTGTCAGTCAACCTTTATGTGAGGTGAGTGTTCCGATAGGCTGGGCATTATTATTAGGGTATAAGATCAGGTTTGATATTCCTTGGGTGTTAAGGATAACGTCACCCTTGAGCATCAGAGGTGGAAGGACACTTTAAAAGAAGCGTGAAAAATGTGATCGATTCCAGCTAACTTCAAAAATATTTTGACCTCTTTTGCGGCTCCAAAACTTTTTGCTTCAATTGGAAAAAACTGAAATAAAGTTTTTTTCTTCAGATTTTCACTCTTCACGTGCTGAAATTTCAGTGACCTTATGTCAAAAAAAAACTTATTCATCAGGCAAAAAAATGCTTTTTAACGAAAATTACTGTAGGTTAAACCAGTTCGGCACTTGTTCAGGTCAAGTGTCGTTGCCGTGGTTACAGTGACAGCGTAGGGGAAAATATTGAAAGGTATTGCCTGTCGTCTTTTGTTCCTTCCTAGGACCAGGGTTAAAAGCCTCTCAAACTAGACTTACGACACTTTTTTTTAATGCATCACCTCTTGTGAGCTCGTATTAAGTAGAAAAGCAAAAGAATAGGTCGAGCAAATTTCGTGCGTTGTAGTCTCTCTCTCTCTTTATTTTCTTCTTCTTCTTCGAACTTCTTTTTTCTCCGTCATGTCTGTGGTTCAAGCACAAGCCGTGTACAATCTGAAAGTTCCTAGAGAATACGGCGGAGTAATTTTGATTGGCGCGGCGTCTGCTATTGTTCTTTCGTGGCAATCACTGGCAGTGAGTGTGATGCGAAAGAAGCGGAATGTCCCTTATCCTACCATGTACACTGACGACGTGTTGTTCAACTGCTACCAACGGGCTCATCAGAACACGTGAGAAGACGGAATTGTAGTGTGTTTTTCATGGTGCATCTAGAAAGTGGGATCGATTTTTTAACAAATAACGTTAAAGAATTATGAATTGTTTCAGAATTTTTCCCTTTTTTTAATTGCGAATCGTGTATATTCTGAACGAGGGGGTCAATTCCTTGATTTGTGAATTTGTTTCGTGTGTGTGTGTGTGTGTGTGAGTTTATTTAAACTGGATTTGTTTGCTTCCAACCTTTGAATAGGGGTCAAAAACCGTAAAGAAAACGAAAGCCCCTATGTACGCGGCTTTTACAGGTAACGCCGCCCTTGCTCAACCAACTAGCCTTCTTAGCAGATACGCACGCCGATAGTCACTGGCGGTTTGTTTGTCAAATTATTTGGCAGGTCATGTGCCGAATTTTGGCTTGCTGTACCGATTTTTTGATCCTTTTTGGTTTCATCGAGATATTGAAGTCGAGAGACCTTTGACCGGGACCACGAAATAATTTCTTTGGCGATGTTTTGTTGTAACATACTTTCATTTTAATTCTGTCAATTATCTGAATTTTGGTTCTTCTTTTAAACTGCCCATCAACGTTGTAAAAAGTTTTTTTGATATGTCCTCCATTCAATAGTTTCAGCTTATTTCTCTTTTGAAATTATCGTGAAAATATATGATACTTCACCCATGAAGTCACAGTTTGGATGGGAACCACAAGAAGATTTCTGCATAACGACAGTCGTTGTGAATGAATTTTTCCGTCCACAGTACAGTATTACTGTATAATCGTAGTCTGGTTGAGTGAAAGCTGAGGAATGGAATGACGCTAGTTCTTGGAAAATTTCTCTGTGCATATTCTATTCACTTTTGCCCATCTTCGTGTTTTCAGCAGTGCCATCGCGTTTCGCTCCCGGCGCGGTTATCAGCAATGTGAGCCAAGTATTTCTCCTCGGTGGTGCTGTTCATACTGGACTTCGCTTCCTCAAAGAAGGTTGGAAACTTATCCCCAGTTTTTGGCATTTCTTTTGCTTTCGGGGATACATGCGCCGAAAATGTCCATTGCGGCGGGAACGAGTTGGTTGATCGGAAGAATCGTCTATGCGTGCGGCTATCATACTGGCGGTTTGTTTGTCAACTTATTTGCCAGGTCATGTGCCGAATTTTGGCTTGCTTTACCGATTTTTTTATCCTTTTGGTTTCATCGAGATATTGAAGTCGAGAGAGCTTTGACCGGGACCACGAAATAATTTCTTTGGCGATGTTTTGTTGTAACATACTTTCATTTTAATTCTGTCAATTATCTGAATTTTGGTTCTTCTTTTAAACTGCCCATCGACGTTGTAAAAAGTTTTTTGATACGTCCGCCATTCAATAGTTTCAGCTTATTTGTCTGCTGAAATTATCGTGAAAATCGATGATACTTCACCCATGAAGTCACAGTTCGGATGGGGACCACAAGAAGATTTCTGATAGTCGTTGTGAATTAATTTTTCCATTCACAGTACAGTATTACTGTATAATCGTAATCTGGTTGAGTGAAAACTGAGGAATGTAATGACGCTAGTTCTTGTAAAATTTCTCCGTGCATATTCGTAAGTGAAAACGGGTAGAAGCACAAAAGTCGTCACGGTAGCGCAAAGCGAGGGCCGCGCCAATAGTCGTTACACTCGGTTCATAAAGAGGAGCCACCACGACAAGTATGACCTGAAGCGAAGGAGTTAGTGTGCTAAATTTTTAAAATTTTCTCCTTCCATTTTATTCCCAAATTTCGTTTTTCTTTCTTCCGAGTGTTTCCTTACTTTTTGCTCTATAAAAACAAAAGCTGCGCGTGCTATAACAGGTTTTTTTTTCATTTTCGTTGTCCAATTTTTGTTTTGTGAAAAGCGTTTTTCTTCACGATTTAAATTTTAGTTGATCTGATTGGTTCCCGTCGCTGAACAGAAGACCATCATGAGCCGTGAAATCTGTCTATTTTCAGCAGAAATAGTGAATTCGATATTGTTTAGCATGAAAATAAAGTGGTCTCGATTTGCTCATAACTTTCTGAATTTCTCAAAATTAATAAGACAAGAAGATGCAAAACGAAATTATGCTTTGTTTCTTGATTTTGGGAAAAATCTTGTGATTCAGTTCGAAACTTTTTAAAATTCGCGAGTTCTTTGGGCCAAAAATTTATTCACGTGAAATAATTTCTTTATATGAGATGTTTTCCGCCTGAAAAATTTTCGTTGAGCCGATTTTTCGTTTGTGGGGTTTTCGTTGTGCTTGGACTCACTAATTTTTTTTTAAATGTCAAATGTGTTCATGCATTTAGTGTCAACATTTCTGGAATTTCTCGTTTCTGTGCGTCGCCGTTTGTGAGGAGGATGTCCTCGTCCTCTTATCAGTCGGCGTCGTTGCGAGATGGATAGATTGAATTAATTGCATTTTTTAAAATGATGTTTGATAGTGCGGGGAAATGTAATAGTGTTGAATGATGAGATAATTGGTGTGATGGCCGGGGAGGATCGCGAGATCCTGCGGGCTGTGTGGGACGGGAGGCTGCCATTGTGCCTTCGATTGGCTGCAGAAGATGTTTGCACTGCCCAGGAACCCGATTGCTTCTATCTCCTGGTGCCCAGGGTCTCCTATTTTCCTGTTGTTTTGGACAAAGTTCGGAATTACTTCGGAAGGTGCGTGATTTTTTTTTGTCTTCTTTACGATTTTCGGCCTCGAAATGGACCTTTTTTCGGACGATAATATTTGCAGTGCTTCGAGAATGCGTCGTTGTAAAATTTAATTTGATTGAGGTTTGAGATTCAGGTGCTTGACAGGATTTCTGCATTTTTTCTCGTGAGATTAAGAATTCTGCAAGCCTACTGTATTAGGTCAGATTGTCAATAGATGCTGAAGCTCCATTGAAAGAACATGGAACAATTTTTTTTTCTGATTTGTCTTCACACATCGCTGGAGTTATACAGTATTATGAATCTTTTAAAATTTTCTTTTTGAGGTTGTTTTTCTGATGTTGTGAACGCTTTTCTGTTTTTTGAGCCTTTCTAATTGATTACTACGTTTTCAGGTTTGTGAGGAAAGGTTTGGAGGATGGATGTGATCTTTGGCTGGATTTTGACGGAATTGCGCTCAAGTGGTGAGTGGATGCATTTTAGTCCCCTTGGAAAATTTGCGCTGGTTTCCTCGAGAGGACCCATGCATCGGTGACATCTATTTTAGCGAAAATTAAGCGCAGTACTCAATTTTTTAAAACTTTAATTGAATATGTTTTTTGGCATGACGTAAGGCTTTTATAGTACTTGCTTTTTTTGGCAGTGGAGGACGGAGACACAGTCGAAGAGGGTTTGGTTTTCCTTCCATAGATGTCGCCAGTTGATGCGTGCTGCAATGAAATGTCTGGAATGCGTTGATTCGCTTTTTTGTCGTTTTCGCAGGCATTATCCGATTGGTGTCCTTTTTGATCTCCTCTCGGTGGACTGTACATTGCCGTGGAACTTGACGGTCCATTATAGCAATTTTCCAGACTCAGAACTGATCCGGTTGCGGAAGAAGTGAGTGAGGTTTTTGTTGGGTTTGCGACTTGATTGCAATTAAATGATTGATGATTTTCTAGGGAAGATGTGGAGATGGCATTTTTGAATACGGTGAAGGAGGCTGATGCGTTGAAGCATCGCCGTCCAGTGATATCCACGCTTCAGGAATCTGAGCATCGGCAGCTTTGGCTCGGGTTGCTCAATGGTTGGTTTCAGGAACCGTTTTTTTTTACTGCATTTCTGCTTGTCATCTTGTTATTCCTCTCTTGGAAGAATTATGAAAGTTCCTTCGTTTCACGTGGGAAAAAATAGTAATTTATTGATCGATTGTCTTCGTATAATCCGCTCTTGCTAATCATTTCATGAAAACAAGATTTCCATACTTATTCAAATCTATAATGCCATGGAGTAGGACTGAAATGAACGAAATTACTGTATCCCCTAAACGATTCAAGCCACAACGTTGAAGATTAATTATACTGTATTGTACTGCAAAACATTTTGCGCGGTTTCTGTTTATGAACAGTATTCTTTGAAACAATTTTTCATCTGAAAATTCTGCATGCATTTCTGAGGCGACCTCGGCCATATGGAGAGAATCTCGCTGAGCTACGGTTCTGCAACTTTCTTATTGGAGCAATTTTTTATACTGTACTCAAGTTCACTCCATAAATAAATTCAATACGTTTCACTCGAAATCGAAGACCAATTATTTTAAATCAAAATCGAGTTAATAATTATTTTCAGTCATCACAATTTTGTATTCTGTAATACAGTATTTCGTGTTCGAGGAAAGTCTGCTAGAATTCTGGAGGATGTTCCATAACCCTACCCATTCAGTACCAGTATTCGTGGATAGATGTCTCTTTCCGGGGATAAAGTTGAGGCCTTATAGCAGAGCTTGGAATGAGTCAATCGTTTCGATTTATTGACTCCTTCATTGAATATGTGAAGTGAAGAATCCTAAACTTTCTGAAATGCTTGGAAAAAATTTATAATATTGTGTTCCATGAACTCGAACATGACGTATTTGTTGATGAATCTATCGGATTGAAAGAAAGTTCGGAATAGCATGATTCAATTGTAAATTTCAGACAGGTACGATCAATTCTGGTCAGTGAATCGCAAATTAATGGAGCGACAAGGACAAGGGGACCCATTCAAGCACGCGCCAGTCAGATTTCACTTCCCGAATTTTCCATTTGTACAACGTTTGATTCGACCCCGGAAGGACGATGGACAACTCTCCACGCTTCACGATGCCTTGGCTGAAATATTTCCCGCCATCAAAAATGGTTTGTGCAGAATCTTCTATTTACGCTTCCTTTTTCTTCTCCAGCAAATTTCAGGTATTTTATGCCAGTATTTTTTTTTGGTAGATGCATAATAAACTTTCGGCTGAGAGTGAGAAAATACCACTGAGGAGATTAAATGCTAAAGTGAATTTTCTTTATTCGTTTAAAAATCTCGCTTCGGGGAAACGGTTTTGTTCCAAAAGTTAGTTTCCTCATTTCAAACCTAGAGGTCCTTGGTGGGGTAAATTTCTTTGCTGTGAGATAGATGTCGCCAATATATTTTTAACAGTTGATCATTTCCTAGTTATCAGGGTTGATCTGGTCACTTGAGGTCCGGATTATTGAAATTTGGCTATCAATCAAAGCCTTTTCTTGCAGTCTTGCTGTTTTCTTTTGTTGCTGCTGAAACCTCGGTTCATTATATTCTTTTCCGAAACAGGTGAAACGCACAGAGTTGTTCTGCATGGAATCGCACCTCCGCTCGAGACGCCGTTGCAGTGGCTCAGCGAACATTTGAGCTATCCGGACAATTTCCTTCACGTTTGCTTGATTCCTTTGTGAAGAAAAGAAAAAATATTCGCGTTCCGTAAAGCTTTGAATCATTTTTGCTTTTTGGAGTGATTGAATGGATCGTCGTCGAGACCGTGATGTGTCAAACTGTGGGTTTCACTACCCGTTTTTTTTTTAAGCAGAGATTTAAAGAAATTGAACTTTTTGAGACAAATTTTATTTCCACTTTTCTTTGGCTTTGAAAATTTCCTGCGTGGACACGATGGGCAACGCAATACAAATTTTTATATTTCAGGTGTGCCAAAGCTTATTTTTCTTCTGAAGGGAGAAGTTTTTCAAGGTTCATGTTGTTTTGATTCTTTGGCTTTGAAAATTTCCTGCGTGGACACGATGGGCAACGCAATACAAATTTTTATATTTCAGGTGTGCCAAAGCTTATTTTTCTTCTGAAGGGAGAAGTTTTTCAAGGTTCATGTTGTTTTGTGACTCCAGAATTATTTCAGTTTTTTTAATAATCATTTAAGGAAATATCATTTTGCATTGCAAAATTCTGCCCAAAAAAAACAGTTCCGTAATGTACTGTAGTGTAGACCTGCTTCGCGTAAGTGCACACACCGAACACAGAATTAAGAAAATCACAATTATATCTTTTCTACTTTTGATTTTCAACAGGCGGTGCATTTGAAAAACAAAATTAACCATCCCCTACTAAAATTTGAGTTTCAGATATCATATCCTTAATTCAACGAAAGATGAATACTCCATTTGATGCGGCTTCTTTTTGCTGATGAAGAACAACTTTTTTCAGACGTCTCCATCATCCTGTGGTGCTGGAGTTCGTGCCCTGTACAGAAAAATTAGGAGCATCAATACAGTATTTTGAAAGATTGCAAAATAAATGAGGAATATTGACTCACGTTTGCGTAGAACACTGATCGAACGAGGTTTACATCCGCGGCTGGAGCTTGTTGAGTGAACTGGATGACAACGACTAAGTACGTACCAAAGTTGGCCATGATCTATAAAAAAGTATAATTTGGAGAATTCAAAAAATAATGTATTATCCTTCAGGCAGTTGGATAAACTCTTCATCAGTTGAATTTGGGGACAGCTGTCAAAGACAAGGAAAACATGACGCAAGAAGAATAGTGAAGCTGTTACCCTTCCTCAAGTCATGGAACTTGTAAATTTCATGGAAGTTGATAGCTTAAAATTCTGAAATGTTGACCAAGGTGTAAAATATACCAAAATATAAACGTTTAAAATTTATATGCAGTACAGTATTCAGGTTTACTCTCTCAACAATAATCTTGTCTACAAAAATTTTCTTAACATGAAAAGTTTTTTTTGGTCTCATTGAGGTTTCTACCGCATGTTACAGGTGTTTTCTACAGCAAGTGTTTTCTATGGTCTCCTTATTTTGTTGTAGAGTCTGCCTGTATCACAAATTTTGGAGAGTATCTGTGGAACTTGATGAGGCATATTTTTGATCACGAGTTGAAGGAAATAATTTTTTAAATCATATACTGAACTCATTTTGGGATGAAATCTTGTGATGACTGGGAATTTTCTCCAGTTCCTAATGCTATTTTTCCCGTTTCTTCAAAATTATAAATCCCTGAAATAAAACTCCAAATGGGATCTCATCTTCATCTTGTTGAAAATGGGATGAATCATTCATTGCTGGTCACCATGGATTCAAAAAAAATTGATCGATTTAATTTCGCTTCCCAAGGAATTCAAGTACGACTTTTATTAGGCTAATGTACTGAGAAACCCTTTTTGAAGTGGGACATTTTTTTGAAACTCACTGCAAGAAATAATCCTTTGGTCACTTCGAAATATCCTGACGCGTCTTGAAGTCCCCGTTGCCTCGTTACGTTGACAGAGAATTGAATTAGCTGTCCGGAGAAAAAAAAGGTTTTAATCAATATAATTTTGGATATTTCCCCTTCAATTCCGGTGATTTTAAAGTTTCACCTGATCCCTCAGAGCCGGATCCGCACTCAAGAGCTTGAAATGGGGCAATATTTCTCCGGTTTTCTGCGACTGAAATAGAGTAAAAGTAAATTTCGCAGAACATATTATCTTATTTTCCCTTTTTTTAAAAATTAATTTGCAAGCATTTTTCAGCTGTTCACAGTACAAATACCTTCTGCAATAAAAAAAACAGTGTTCAAGAAATCTTGACTTATGCCCAGAACTGCCCTTCTGTTCTACATTGCACAATTACCATACACAGTACAGTAGAGTATACGGTCAATCCTTTCTATACATATGAGCCAAATTGAAGAGAACCTAAAGAATTTTTGACTTGATCTTGGTTTAGTGAAAATATTGTCTGATATTTGTAGGTCAATCAATTGCAGTTACTGTAAGGCATACACATTATTGAAAAAGTTTAATATTCCTAAATGTCAAACCTGCATGAAGTTGCCAAATCCCTTGCATAAAGGGTTATAATACTGTACAGTAAAAGTTTTCAAATGTTTTAAAATTCAACCTCAGTTTAATATCACAAGGGCAATATTATAACATTTATTGATTGAGGGAGATAGTAGAGGCAACACGTTTTAAGAAAGGCAGGTTTCAGAATGCATGAATCTTGAAGAAATTGGTCAAGGGATTTATTGGAAATTTGAGTTAAGGAGGGTTTTCACCTAAATAATTTGAAATTGCATCAATGAAAAAGCTGCAGAATTTACAGTACATACAAAAGAAATGTTACCAAATCCCCCTTACAGAAAGCATAAAGTAAAATTTGCACTTGTTCTAAATTATGTGTTCTAAAATTTAACTCATGTTCATTTTAATTGCATGATGGCAATAATATAAAATTTGACTGTGGTAACTTGAAGGCAAACACTTCTGAGTTAAGGATGTTAAAAATGCAATGGTTTTAAGGGGATATATTATTGGCCAGCAAGTCACTGGAAATTTGAGTTTGGATGGTTTTCAACTCAGAGACTTTGCAATAACACCAACAAAAAAAAAAGAATCAGCTGATGATAAAAGAACAAAATTAATTAAAAACATTTTAAATGACCGACCTCGTGTTCAGCCTCATCAGCCGACAAGCAAAGCAGAAACACCCTACAAATAATGACGACAACTGCTGGCGTATAATCCTGTATGCTAGCAAAGTCTGGCAAATTGTTGACGTCCCCAAAGGACCTTATGATCATGGTCGAAATGAGTACCAGCAGGACCAACATAGTACTTGTCATGGTCACTATCCAGTGCGCAAAGGCATCTGCATTCTTTCGTGCCAAAAAGCAGAGCTTCGCGTAGCGGATTCGCAGATCCTCGACTTTGGCCACACGGGTTTCAATGAAGAGGTCTGTTTGGGCCTGATGATGATGGGTTCCAGCAGTTACCCAGCGGATCCCGGGTTCTTTGGCCAGGGCCTGGAGTTTGCGATTGATGGCAAAGCGGAATGCCTTGCGAATGACGGCGTTTATGGCTGTGATGAAAGCGTCGACCAACAGACTGATTTCAAAGCCCCAGAGAATAATGAACATGGTGTAGCCAAGTTTGCCTTTGGAAAAGGCGCTTTTTGTCCCTGTATATAAAAAAAGGGGTAAATGTAGAATATACAGTGGGTAACAAACATTTGGATACCCCATTGAAGCTGACATTTGGACAATTTAACTGATGGGCACTGAAAATAATCTTTCCCACAATCTGAACAGTGACAAGATATAAACAAAGCACTTCACCAAAGTTTCAAGATAAATTGTGTTTTTGAAAAAATTCTTGAAATCTTTTGAAAGAATTGAGCTATGGCTTTGAGGAAGCTTAAACTTCTATTCTCTAATAAATTAACTCTATTTCTCATCATTCTGAAAAATAGGATAATTTTCTTCTAAATTTTTCAGGGGTTTTCTATCAGTGGTGTACATTAAAATAAGAAAACATTATAATGTGTGCTTTTGTTTGTATTTTGGACTCCTCTCCATGCCAAAAAAAGCAGATTCTGCATGGTTTTCTTCTGGGCTGTTATTCTCTGAATCTTGAAGTTTGACTCTTACATCTTATATTGTAAAACATTGCAATTTTGAGGACTGTTTGCAATTTCTTCCAAACACAAGATGCAAAAATGTTTGCCAATTATTTGATTGAAGTTTAGGGGACATAATGTGATCAAACATGCAGAAAAATCTGGAGATGAATCAATATTCCATCATATGGACGCAGTTTGAAAAGTAAATTATGTCTCCAACTTTGGGTACCATGATGATGAGGAAGAGGAATTGACACAGTAACAAACTGCACACCTGAAATACATTACAGATATCAAACTAAAAAAGTATTGACAAAAGTCAGCACTTGTGTTGTTGGAGCCAGAATTCCGTTTTTTCTATTGTGGATTTTCAATTTTTTTTCTGAAAAACACATTTTCCCCCAGCAAAGTAACCAAACAAATTGCAGACCCCTTCTCAAACACCCTATTGAAATACATTGATGATGTGTGTTGCCCCACACAGCTAAAAAAAAACCTGTGGAATGATAATGAAAGGAATATGCCACAGCAAGTCTCCCTTTGGAATTTAATTACAATCCTGCAGGTCTTTCATTTTTTTCAGGGGTCATACTTGAAAAATGATGTGGTGATTTGAAAACCCTCAGACAAGTGGTGAGCAATCACAATAAGACATCTGGTTCAATTCCAATTGCTGATTTTCTGGCATTAATTGAAAGGGGAATAATATGCTGAGATTTTTAATTTTAAACTGTCCACGAGTTAAATTTTATGCAGCATGCAAAGACATCACTGTATTTTACCCTGATACAACTGTGCACAGCACATATACTGTACAGGTGAACCTCAATAGCTCAAACCCCCCAAAGGCAAATTTTTTTTTTCAGATCCCCATCTGAATCCCCTTAGAAACAATACATTAAAAACCTCCCCAAGTTGAAGGCGTTTCCCCTCAAGCCTCTGTAAGTCAAATTTTCTGTGGCCTGTTGGATTTGATTTTCTTGACACAAGAAAGAAAAAACGCAATAAAAACAGAAACTGATGTGTTTTAAAAGAAAGTGAAAGACTCAATTGGGCAAATGAACCCCTGCCTACAAGTTCAGCATCCTTTCAACTCATTTAAGAAGCAATTTAAGCCCCAGAATACCACCATTTAAAATTTTGGTAAATTTGTATACGTTTACCAGAAAAAAAGAGGATTGTGTCATACCTCAAACCTCTATAATTCAAAACCTCCCTACGTTGATTTTTTTTGCTGGTCCCTTGCAATTTGAATTAGAGAGGTTCAACTGTATATAGGAGGACTCCTCAT